ATCATGGGTTCTTAACCTAAGATCTATAAGGGACTTCAGAGAATTTGTGACTCCCCTGCCCAAAAATATGAAAAATTGTATGTATACAATAGAAGGCTTTTAATTTGATATTATCAGGACCAATTAATCAAAAATGTTACAGTAGGAAGTTTTTTAAAAAATCATAAATATGTGCCCTAAATATTTTATTAAAACAATGTATGTTCATTTTTCTCTTTTTTGAAGTAAGACTTTTCTATGAGTATGGGTCTCCTAGCTGAAAGTCCATAGCATCTTTCTTATAGTTAGCTATATCTATAATATGTCTTCTACTCTTTTCAGTTTAGGTTGTTGTTTTTTTTTTTAATAGAATGAGCACTTAAAAACATTTTGTAAATAATATGAGAGTGGAATCCTTTTAGATTTTTATTATTTTTCCTAGCCTTTTACAGTTGTCTTGCCCGTCTAATTTGACAGCAGTTGTTTTTAGTAATTCACTTTTGAGTCTTTACAAAGTATTTAACTTAATTTCCTAGATATAACAATTATCTTCATACTTATATTTCATCCTGTTATGTTGCATTTAAATTGTTTATAGTAAAACTAATGTAGAGACTTGGAGACAAATACAATTTATTCTTGGTAAGCATAGAAATCACTTAATGAAAGAGTACTTAGGCATGTTGGAAAGTATCTACTAGCAATGAATATTCAGCATTCTAGAAACATTTATTATAAATTTTTAAAACATCCTTACTTAATCAGACAAGTCTCTTAAAAGGATGTCAGGGGAGATTTCCCATATGTACCCTGCCCCTACACATGCATAGTCTCCTCCATTATCAACATCCCCTACTAGAGTGGTACATTTGTTACAGTTGATGAACCTACATTGACATATAATTATCACCCTAAATCCACAGATTACATTAAAATTAACTCTTGATGCTCTTGATGTTGTACTAACTATACATTTTTTAGCCTTTTATGTGAAGCAAATAATTTTTTGTATAAGATTTAGAAAATGGGACTTGGTGTTATACCATCTAAAAATTTATATCGTTACTATTGATTCTGACCTGGATGTTAATATAAAATACCTGACATAAATTTTTTAAGTATTTGTTATTTTAACTTTTAAAAATAGGTCATTTGACTCATTTTTGTTTTAATTAGGTAACCGGGAAAAAGGCATATGCTACAAGCCAGCAAATTTATGAAACAGTTAAATCATTATGGACAAAAAACAACAAAAAAGAGTCACTTCCTGAACCTAAAGAAAAAACTAAGGTAAAATTTAAATGGGCCAAAAAGGTAGACATTGAGTTTTGTTTGGGCGAGTGTTGGCTTGTAATGGGAGTCCTGGATAGAGGTTTTGGATAGAATGAAAAAAGATAAAGGAACATAATACCTTTGCATGCTATAATTTTATGAGATATTTTATTATTTTAGTAAAATAATTTACTTATGAGGGAAAAATTCTTTTTGTAAACAGCTAGGAAGCTCTGCTGAAATAGAAATACCTGCAAAAACAACTTACAATCTGAAACACTCAGTGGCTTTGCCAACAGAACTCAACTCTGAAACGAAATCCAAATCAGATTCCACCTCAGGTTTGTTTGGATAATTCAATTTTTGTTTTCATTCTTTTCTTAGATAATTCTATAATATTATAGTTATTAATGTGAACTTATGAGTTTTCTTCATAAATGTTTTGTCTTTTATATTTGTAGTCTGTATATCTTTTTAGATTATGAGGTACTCAGGTACTTGGGACTTTTTCTAATTGTGACATAGCTCATAATATAGATCTTTGCTTATAGGGGTATAGAGTAGCACTCAGGTTAGGTGAGTGAAGCATTTAATATCACTTTATAAATGTGAGTTTTTTAATCAGGTGGAGAAAGATGTGCCTTTCTGTATTCTATCAATTGACAGGCTATGAATCACATCTACATAGATTAAATATCAGCTTTTCATTTCTTGTGCTTCTTACCCTTGTCAGTCTTAGCTTCCACTATCCATTTTATTTAATTTAAATACTGGGAGAACGTTCAACATCAAACAGTGAAAACAGCACCAATTATAGTACTGATGACTTCGCTAGTAATTAGGTATTGCCAATTAATACTTTGTGGGATCAAATAGTGACAATTATACTTTCTAGGTAAATACTACAATATTTTACTGTGATCAAAAAGAAGGTAACAGAGTGTTTAATATCATTTCAGTATGTATTCACATAAACTCACCAGTCACTGGCTTACATAGGTTTGTCTATCTGTGCCATGTGCATGGTAGTACCCATTAAGATGTCTTACTGCAAAGGAAATAGGACCAACTCAGATGTAAAGAATTAGGAAATTATGATAATATTTCATTAGCAGGTGCCCTTTATTGAGCATCTCTTCTGTGGTGCAAAGAGTTGTAAATATGTTATTCAATTCTCACCCAAAAAGAAATTTAAAAAACCTGGTGTATATGTAATTATAATCATTTCATGATGAAGAGACTGAGACTCAGGGAACTTAAGTAATTTGCCAAAACTCATACAGCTTATGAGTAGAGTTATGTTTATAAACTAGAGCTTCCTGACACCAAAGTCCAAGCTCTTCTCGTTGTATATAGATTATCTAATTTCAAACCAGAATTTGGTCTCTAATATCAGCCTCCTCCTCTCTCAATCTTTGTAAAAGTTGTTACTGAGTAACAAAACTGATTTGAGTTTTACTCTTTTCCTTTGTCACCTCTCCTTTTTAATTAAGATAAATTATACAGTGTTTAAACTTTCTCTGAGTAATCCACAGTTGACCACATTTCCACAATTCTATAATATACCCATTTTTCTAAATGCCTGTCAATTCCAGAGGATCTTTGTGGAGATTAAACATGTCACAGCTTAATAGTGGGATCAAACCATCCCAATGTTCTTTTCTTCACATACTGGATTCTGGAACACTTTACCCGTGTGACATGGGTAATGTGGTATATGAAAAGCATTCTGAGGAGACATAGAGAGGAGAGAGATGCCAGCAACTATTTATCTTTATCATATATCGTTCAGAGTTGATTACACAGTAAACTCTTAGGATTCACCATTTCTAGCATTCTGCATTTTACATGCAGTCCCAAAGGTCCAAGACATGAGAACAGTAGTGCTTTTGAGCACAGATTTTATATCTGATTCTGAGATCCAACATTTACTAATTCTGTTACTTGGAACAAGTTATCTAATACCTCAAGCCTCAGTCTCCTCATCCGTAAAATAGGGACATAATAGTATTCTTCTCACAGAGTTGTTGTGAGGATGAAATGCAATATTGCATGTAAAACACAAAGTACAATGTCAAATACATATTTCTCGAGTGTTAGAAGATATCGTTATCATTTGCCTAGAGAAATTAGCCATTTTGCCAATAAACAAATTTATTTTCATTGAGTACACACTGGGAACACATTACTTAGCTAGGGAACCTAGCCATGGCCACCATTTATCACTATATAGAATAGATTGGGCAAACTGTCAAACTGTATATCATGGCTCTGAGTATGAGTTTGGTTGTTCTTTATCATCCATATGCATTTATGATGAAAATTATTACTTTGGAAATCACAAATTGGGAAATTTGGTGACATGGACTGCTTCAAAATCTGATGAAAGTAGGATGAAATCTCTCACAGTCTCACAGGATTAATGTCCCTCTAAATCAGAGGTTGGCAAACTCTGGCCCTTGTGCCAGATTTGGCTCGCCATCTACTTTTTTGGAACACAATGATACACGTTCATTTATGTATTATCTGGCTGCTTTTGCACTACAGTGGCAGAATTGAGTGCTGTGATGGAGACCTTCTGGTTCACAAAGTTGAAAATATTTACTCCCTGACCTTTTGCAGAAAAAAGTTTGCTGATTCCTGTTTTAGAGGGGTGAGATGTGCCATACATACATGACTCATCTCCCCCTCATGATATTTGCCAGTTTTTTTGTGCATCAGGAGACTAAGTAGTCAGTCTCAAAACCTTTGAAGGGCAACACCAAATTTCCTACAGTCTTTTAGTGCAAGGCTGACAGAAACTCACCAGACTCCATCAGAAACTTGAGAATGCCATATCTGAAGAAAAAGTACGAACCAGAAGTTGACTGATATATACTAAAACTGCAACTCAGCTCAGTGCCTGATTGGATTGAGATGATAAGCACTTCACCCTTCCTAAGAGAGGAAAAGGGTTCCATCTGTGGTAGAAGATACTATGTGGAGCTTCTACAGTTCTTTTATACAGTGTCTACCATACAAGCAAACAAAATACTAGCCATGTGAAGAGTCAGGAAAATGTGACTAACAATCAAAAGAAGAAAATAATGACAGACCCACAGGTGATCTAAATATTGGAGTTAAGCAAAAAAGGACTTTAAAGTAACTATGATTAATATCTTAAATAGAAAACATGATGAACAAAATGGATGAGAAAATGGAGAATTTCACAGAAAATTGGAATCTTAAAAAATCAAGTGGATATTCTAGATGTGAAAAAAATGTATCTGAAATTAAGAACTCATCTGTTGGTTTTAACAGCAGACTGTACATAAGAAGGGACAGAAGTAACGAACTCAAATACAGGTAAACAGAAAATAGCCAAACTGAAGCACAGAGAGAAAAAAAAAAATAGGATAGAACAAAATGTGAGAATATACTTGGCAGTGACTAGTACCTTTAAGTGTTTCAATTACTGAGAAGCTGAATGCTGGATATCACCCAATTTTATACAAAGGAAACAAAAATAGAATTTCTAACAATTTTAACTTCACTCATCAATTTATTACTGATCTGTCCCGTTTTTTGGTAACTAACATGCTTGAATTATGAAAGATAATGTGTGAAGTAAATTATCAGTGAAAAGATTTCACCTAATGGCTATTTGAGACAATAATTCATTGCTGTTTTATAACTTTAAACATCTTTATTCCTTTCCTGTTATAATACCAGCTTTTTAAAAAGTCTACTAAAAATTTTAAACATAAAATATTTTTTATTAGAGATTAAAAATTTGATAAAGTACAAAGATAAGCATCATAATGATTAGGGTCGGATTGAGATTCAAGAGGAGTTTTATGGCAGCTTATCCTTTAGGAGAATAGAACCCTTAATGAGCTCAAAGGATGACAAAATTTCTAAGAGGAAAGATATAATCTTTAATTACTCAGGAAAGCATGAAATGAATTCTTTTAAGAAGGCAGAAATCGAATGACCTAGGCTAAGTGGTTCTAAACCAGAGAGACACATCGCAATTCTTGAGGGTTTTTCTTTTTCCTTCTAAAACTCATTCTGCTTAAGAATTTTAAATCAGAATCTCCCGAGGTGAGGCCTCTAAGCAGGTGATTATAGGAAAAGATCCATTGGAAATTCTAAATGCGTATTCCTCTATTTAATAATTTCTGGCATAAGCCGTGGGTAAATTCAAAATTCGAAGCCTTTCAACAAATTCTGAGAGGTGAGGATCTAAAGAGGTAAAGGGAGCATTTCAAATTTCAGTGAGCTGAATCTTTGACCAGACTTTGGAAAAGAATTTAAATTAAGGAAGTGAGTAGAAGTTATGGACATTGTTAAACAAATTAGACACATTTAGACTTATATAAAATAATTACTTTATATAGTATTATAAAATACTATATGCTTACTATATAATATGTCTGATAAAGAACACTATTTCATAGTACCCTTTTCACTTGTACTGAGCAAAGGCTGCCACCAGGTAGCAATAAAGATATATTTGAGAAAGGAGCAGTTAGAACCACTGTTTCTTAACCTTTTTATGTTTACGGACCCCTTCTCAGAATAATGTTTTTAAATGCATAAAATAAAGCACATAGTAACATATGAGCTTCCTTAAATGTATTAAACAATAATATCTAACAAGATCTAATAAAGTCCATAGTTTTGAAATAGTAATAAGTGTAAATATTTCAAGATAACTAAAACTATTTTGAGATATTAATATATCTGTGACTTTTATTAGTGACAAAATCTAAGGTACCATTAGTACAATTGTGATTTATTGCCTACATTCATTATTGAGGAAAATGTTTGTTTTCAGTCAGAGGTTAATGAAAATAAAGAAAAATCTACCCCGTCCAAGTTTATAGATCACATAAATTTTATCCACAGACCTCCTAATGTTAAGAATCTGTGTCCCGTGGAAAACCATAGTAGTGTCATGGGTGGTGATTACTGATGGTCTGGTTGTTTTTAATATATTTAGTGGTGAAGATACATAAAGATATTTCACACTTTATAAAATAGGAAATGTTTCTGGAAAGATAGATATAAAATAAATTATTGTATGTAAATCTATTCCTCTTCTTTGTTTTCATCATAAAAGTGGAAATTAAATTCCTCTATGGAAAAAAAGATGCATCTCCCAAATATAATAAGATCATTTTAAAATGAATCAGAGTTTGAAAAACATATTTAAAATAAAAACAAATTTCTGAAAAATGTTTTGTCTTATGTCACAAAGTAAATGTAAAAATAATTGTTTATTGCCTACTTACCATGCACAGAGTATTACATGCAGAATTTTGTGCACATTATTATGTTGAATACTAAAAATAATTATATGACATTGTTAGCACTCTAATTCCCCATTTTACAGAAGAGCTAGGGTTATTGTGTTGGGTCAGATAAACCTGGATTCAGTCCCGAGTACTACTTATCAGCTGAGTGCCATTGGTCAACTTGTTTAATCTCTCTAAATTAAAATTTCCTTATCTGTAAACAAGGATAATATAAAAATATCATCTGTCTCATGGTGGTATTGTGAGATAGTACATGAAAATAATGTAGCATCTTGCCTGGCACACTGTCAGCTTATCAAGATCACTATTGATCCACATATTGCCAAATCCAGGAATCCATTCTCGATCTTCATCTTATGTAGTCTATCAGTAACTTTTAACACAAGTGATTACTCCCTCCTCCTTGAAACAATCTCTTCACTTGGCCTTTGGGATACTACTTGCTCTTGGTTTTCTTACTACACTAACTGGCTGTTCCTTCTCAGTCTTCTCTGCTAATCTTCTAACATTTCTCCTAATCTTCTTAACTTCAAAAGTTGGAGTTCATTCCTTAGACCTCTTCTCTCTTACCCTAGATGATCTCATATAGTCCCATAGTTTTAAATGCCATTTATAGGTTAGGAATGTAAAATTTAGAAACCAGCCCAGACCTCTCCTGAACTCTATAGATTCACATTTCTAGCTGCTTACTCAAAATTTTTGTACTCAGATGTTTATCGAGTAATTCAAATTTAGCACAGCCAAAACTTAACACTTCATTCGTTTTTCCCCAAACATGCTTCCCTGTCTCAGTAAACGTCAACTCCATTCTTGAAGTTTCTCAAGTTAAAGAGAAACTAAAGCTAACGTAAAGTTTTCATAGAACACGTTCAATCCATTTCAGAAATCCTATCCATTCTAACTTAGAAAGTTATCCATAATCCAGTCCCTTTTCACTGCCTTTATTGCTACTGCCCTAATTAAAGCGATCAGCATCTTTCTCCTGAAATACTGCAATAGCTTTCTAACTGGTCTCCCTACTTTCAGCCTTGTTCCTCTATAGTCTCTTTTTTCCATAGCCAAGAGTGGTCTTTTAAAAAACATATCATGTCACTCCTTTGTTCAAAACTGCCCAGTAGCTCCTCATCTCACTTAAAATTAAAAAAAATAAATAAAAAATAAAACGTTACTATGTTCCTTCATGGCCTAGCATTCCATTGTTTTCTGATCATGTCTCATCACTCTCACTGCACCCAACATCTCCATATCTTGCCTACTCTGTCCAGGCATATTGGCCATTTTATGGTTCCTTAAACATGCCTCAGGTCCATTATACTTGCTTTCTTCTCTTACTATAAGGCATTTCCCTCAGATATCTACAGGGCTCACCCCCTCACCTCTTTCAGTTTTTTGTTCAAATATCACTTTTCTAGAAGGCTTACCCCTGGTCACCCTATTTAAATTTGCAAACTACCCCAGCAATCCATATGCCTCTCCCTATTCTATTTTTCTGCATTGCACTTACCACCATCTGATACATCTTTTACTTAATTTATTGTCTTTCTCACCCAACTTGAATGTTAGGTCCATGTTGGCAGAGATTTTTACCTGTTTTTTTTTTTTTTCACTGCTGTAGTCCCAATACCAACAATAAATTTGTTGAATGAATGACTAATTTATTTATTTTTTTTTCATTTTAATACTTTATCAGATGCTTCACTGTTTGTGCCTGACCTCAAGCTCAAGGATCACGGGCAGTCCCATCCAGAAGATGTAGATATGTACAGCACTAGAAGCTGAAAGAGTCTACATAGAGAACTACAAGATGTGTGAAGTTGCAAATGATGAAAAAAAAATCATGTAATTAGTAACTGCAATGCATAGAGTATAACTTAAAGCAGGTTTTTCCCTTAAATCTTATAATGTATACTTTGACCAATCACATAAGTGATTAAAACACAAACAGAGAATACAATTCAAAAATATTAAATTGTTGGTGAAGAGACAGAGATAGTAGTATGAAGATACAGCTTAATTAGAATGATGTATGAAAGGATTTGTTCCCTATCCTCCCACCCGCCCTTTTCCATTTCCTAGAATTGGAATAAAATATCCATATTTTATGATAGTTGGGCTTGGCTTCGTGTCTGTTTCATTAATGTTACCTCCTCTTAAATGTCCCAAAACACCTCTAACTATTTAAGAGGACCATGCGCTCCATGGGACCTTTAATGCTGCTTGGCAGACCTTTTGCTGGTTCCTAGGTGATTTCCTATCCTGTTCCCCAGGAGAGATATTACAGACCTTTTATTCTCAAGCCTCTTATACCTGCCAAAGATGACTGTGTCTTCTATTACATAGAGGGGAAAAAAAATAAGTTATTAGACATGACTATTCACAACTTCTTCCCATCTGCCTTCTAGACTTACCTCCTTTTCAGCCATGCCATCCCCTTTTTCTAAGGCCAATGCTTCTACTTGGGTTCCTGATCTCATTCATTCCCATCTTTTCCAATATCATATCATATCTGGCTTAATATCCCTCTTTTCATCTTTTCACTCATTTCTTTTCCTCAACCTCTAAATAGCTTCTAAATTTTTTTATCCAAAAACAATAGTAACAAAAACCTTTCCCTAATCCTGCCTCTTCCTCTCAAACTATCTTTTCTTTCTCCTTCCTATGATTGTCATACTTTATAAAAAGTAATTAACATCACTGTCTTATTTTCTCTCTTTCAGTTCCTGACTTATGATACCCTGGCCTTTATAACTACTTGAATTTTATCTAATTATTGACTCTTGACCACTCCCTTCTTGAAACTCACTCCTTGCTTTGCTCTGTTATTCCTGCTTCTCTTGTTATTCTTCATTCTTCCCTTGCTCTGAATCCCTTAAGTGCTGAGCCTCCTCAGATTGTACTCCTAGTCTTTTCTCATTCTGTATGCTCTCTCATTTTCAATCAACATACTTCACTGTCTTCAGCCACCACTTATATCTTTATTACTTATATGTCCAGCTCCCGTATTTCTCTAGAGCTATAGACCTATCTTTGTAATTATTTATTAGTTGTAGCCATCTTACATCCCATAGATATCCCCAATGTCAATATTCCTAAAACTAAATATCTACCTATCCTTATTTCTGTTTCTCAGATCTATTCTACCTTCTCTAATCTTTGTTCTCATTGGAGTCTTCATCATCACTTTCCTGGATTATTACAGTAGCCTTCTGGTTAATCCGCCTACCATCAGTCTTGCTTTCTGTTACTTTAGAATGTGTTCTGCTTGCAAGTAACAGTAAATCAGTTAACAGTAGCTTAAATAAGAGTCTATTTAAAGTCTGGATAGGCAGTATAGGGTTGGTAGTGTGGCTCATTGGTGCCATCAGGGACCTAGACTTTTTCTGTTTCTGCTCTGGTCTTTCACATGTTGATTTGTCAACTCATGCTCACAAAATGGTTGCTGTACCTCTGGGTAATATATACACACTCAAAACAAGAAGAGGAGTTAGGACAAACTGTATATCAGCTGTTTATGACCCTCATTTATCAGAAAAAGCTTTTTTAGAACCCCTTTCAGAAAACTTCTGTCTATATCTTTTTTTTTTTTTTTAGGCAAGGCTACCCTTGGTCGACCTCACAGATTGCAAGGACCTTGTCAGCTTACAATCCCTTATTTTATTTATTTATTTGTTTGTTTGTTTGTTTGTTTGTTTATTTTTACGCCTACAGCACCTGGTCTTCCTAGGTGATCTCCCATCCAAGTACTAACCAGGCCCGACCCTGCTTAGCTTCCAAGATCAGACAAGATCAGATGGGATTAGGCTTGTTCAGGGGAGCATGGCCGTAGACTCTGTCTATATCTTGATTAGAGTTTGTCATATAGCCACACTTAGCTCAAGGAAGATTGGAAGGGTAAACGGTTTGGAATGGGTATTGAGTTTGAGCTAACTTACAGTGTCTGCTACTCTATTCTTCCAACTTATGTGTCATATTATTATGACAGTTGTCTTTCTAACAACTATTATGGATAGTTGTCTTTCTGAATCTTCATTGGTTCATCATTGCCTACAAGAATCAAATCAAGACTCCTTAGTATGACATACAAGGCCCTTCATATATGATACCAACTCGACTTTATTCCTATCTTCCCTCTCCCCACAACCATACTGCCAATGTATATTATATTTTATAACATACCACATGCTTCTTGAACATGCTTGGCTCTTTTCTGCCTTTTTCTCTGCCTATGATGGCATCTCCTCTTTTTTTGTTTTATCCTGCTCCATATTCCAACATCCTCATCCTTCAAACCCAATTCCAGTGTCACCATTCTCAGTTCTCCAAGGTAGGATTTAGATGTCTCTCTTCTACATTCCCATACATTTAGTAATTATAGCTGTGATGGCCCATACGATTTATTATAAAACTACAACTAGTATTTTTTTTTTTTTTGATAAGGCTCCTTTTGGGTTTGACTGAATCATCTTAGTGTTGCTTTCATGCCCAAGAATACTTGGTACATAGGAATTCACATGTTCTACCATGCTGGTTGTAAAACAGGATACAAAAATAATTATAATTCTCTCAAAGGGTTTATATTCTACTAGAAAGGATATAATCACAAATATAGTGGTATATGTAGTATCTGCCCTAAGTACAACCAAAGAGTAATAGATGCTCAGAGATGGAATATATTTCTGGGATTATGTCAAGAAGGCAGTGGTACTTGAGCTGCTCAAGTTGGAGAAGCAGTACACATACCAGTTTTTCATAAATGAGCTCTTCAAAGTTTAGCTTCAGTATTTTAAATGATTTTTTGTGCCTCAGATCTGTTTATAACCAACACATCCATATTTCATCAAGTGTAAGACACATTATTTACCTCTAAGAAAAAAGTACTGCCAGTTTTTATACTTATCCCAATTTCAGATATGAAGTTTAAGATGTAAAAATATAAGCATCTTAAATTTAGTGAGATATGGTAGGTAAAAAATAAATATCCTAAAGCCAAGTATAAGTGAGTTTTGAATTATGTGCTCTGCCACGATCCATTATATTAGTTTGGATAATGGAAGTTGATTATCTGCAAAATCTATTTCAAAATAAAAGATCTGCTTAAACCAGAATTTGATCACTTGCTCTATTGTACAACACAATGTCAAACTGCTGTTGGACTCAGGTGACACTGAAATGTTGGAGCCTATGTTGAGACAAG